GTGCCGGGAGGTGGTGGCGGTCCGAGGGCAGAAGGTCACTCGTCACCTGCTTCCTAGGGTGGCGCAGGAGTGTGAGGTTGGCAGCCCCTGGTGTTGAGCCTGCATGCATTGAGTGCCTGCTGTATGCCACTTCTGGGGCGGGGCGCCGGGAGGCACAGTGAAGGCCACCAGCCCCGCTCCTGGAAACTCGTGCCCAGGCTGCTTCTCGGGTCCCGTGGTGCAACCTGGGGCACAGACTCGCGCTCTCTAGGTCTGTTTACCCGCCCGTTCCAGGGGCTGAGGCTGGGGTCAGGCCTCTGCCAAGACTTGGGGGTCTCTCTTCAGAACGGGGGGCAGGAAAGCCCTCTACTTCCTCAGTGCTCACGCTGGGGTTCTGCCCAAGGGTCTTGTGGACAGGGAATCCAGGGCTCTGGCCCACTGAGGCAGGACACAGATAACAGGGTGGGGGGGCCTTCACCCTTGGCCTCCGAGGGGCATGGCCTGGCCGGACCTCAGCAGGTCTCCAAGCTTCCTGCTGCCGAGGAGGATCACTTCTGTTCTACTGTCCGTGCACCGTAGACGGGGACACTGGGGCTCCCAGGAGGCTAATGTCTCACCCAAGGTCACACACCGCTAAGGCCTAGAGATTTATTAATTAAAAACATTTTTTTGATGTTTATTTAATTTTGAAAGAGACAGAGTGCGAGCAGGGGAGGGGCAGAGCGAGAGGGAGACGCGGAATCCGAAGCAGGCTCCAGGCTCTGAGCCGTCAGCACAGAGCCCGACGCGGGGCTCGAACTCACAGACCCAGAGATCGTGACCTGAGCTGAAGTCAGGCGGGATGCTTAACTGACTGAGCCACCCGGGCGCCCCAGGCCTAGAGATGTGATTCAGCAGTCCAGCACTGTGCACCAGCAGGAGTCCAGTTGCCAGGGGGCCGTAGCATAGACCAGAGGGGCAGGGGCTCTCATTCCACTGTGTCCCCACGCATAAGCCATTGTTGATTTGCCGCAAGCCAGGACGAAGGAACTTTCGAGGGCAGTCTGTCTGAGGCTGACCTCCGTAGCAAGAGGGGCTACCAGAAGCCAGGGCTGCAGGAGAGGCCGTCCCAGCGTCCCCAGAGCTCTGAGTGGGGGGTAGAAGCTCCTGGAAGGCCATCCCAGC